GGGAGCCGAGATTGTGCCACTGCACTGCAGCCTGGTCGACAGAGCGAAAGTCTGTCTCAAAAAAAAGAAAAAAGAAATCACACGCAACCAATGCATTCTTCACCCTGAATCAATGCTTCTCACCCTTGGATGCATATTAGAATAGCCTGCTGTACGTGTGGGTGGTGGCTCCTCACCCTGAATGCTTCTCACCCTTGGATGCGTATTAGAGTAGCCTGCTGTGCATGTGGGTGGTGGCTCCTCACCCTGAATGCTTCTCATCCTTGGATGCGTATTAGAATAGCCTGCTGTGTGTGCGGGTGGTGGTATTTAAAGTTCTCAAATCTAAGTTGCAAGGGAATAATTAAGCCAGAATCTTTTTTTTTTTTTTTTTTTTTTTCCAGAGTCTTGCTCTGTTGCCAGGCTGGAGTGCAGTGGCATGATCTCAGCTCACTGCAACCTCCACCTGCCAGGTTGAAACGATTCCGCTGCCTCAGGTTCCCAAGTAGCTGGGACTACAGGCACGCACCACCACGCCCTGCTAGTTTTTATATTTTTAGTAGAGACAGGGTTTCACCATGTTGGCCAGGATGGTCTCGATCTCTTGACCTCATTATCTGCCCGCCTCGGCCTCCCAAAGTGCTGGGACTACAGGCGTGAGCCACCGTGCCCAGCCAATTAAGCCAGAATCTTTAGAGTGAGACCCAGACAATGGTGATTTTAGGCTCTCCAGGTGATTACAATATGCAACCACACTCCCAAATGTCTGCTGTAAATCAACATCTTTCAGAGGACCAGTCGAAAATATTTCTCAAATTAATGTAAAAAGTGTTTGCTGTTGAGTTGTGGCTTTTCAGTCCTACCTGTATTATCTACATTCTATCCTTTGCAAAACTCACTTCTACTACTTGTTTTGCTCCTGATTTAAACCAGTTCCACACACACTAAGCCCACGGTACTAGATGGCCTGGCTGTGGTGAGTATTATTCCTGGCTGTGGTGAGTATTATTGTGGAGGAAGGACTTTGCTGTAAGAAAATGCTTTCCCCAAAACTAAAACCATGCTACTTACTCAACTGAGGTAAAAAATGAAAGGCTGGCCGGGCGCAGTGGCTCACGTCTGTATTCCCAGCACTTTGGGAGGCCGAGGCAGGCAGATCACGAGTTCAGGAGATCGAGACCATCCTGGCTAACACGGTGAAACCCTGTCTCAACTGAAAAAATACAAAATGAAATGGAGCGAGACTCCATTTCAAACAAACATTGCTATTATTCTGAAATATTAATTTAGGATTAAATATGTAATATTTCAATTTTTATTGATGTATAACATGCATACAGAAATACATCTGCAATAGAGTATTAATGTAATGCTCAATAAATTAGCTCAACAAAGCTAATACATTTGTGTAACTATAGAATAGAACTACCCTTGTTTTTGCCCACAAACTACTTCCTCTTCTCTTTTCCTCCTCCCCAAATGTAACCACAATCTTAAGAGCTAATTTTTTTTTTTTTTTTTTTGAGATGGAGACTTGCACTGTCACCTGGGCTGGAGTGCAGTGGCGCAATCTTGGCTCACTGCAACCTCTGCCTCCCAGGTTCAAGCGATTCTCCTGCCTCAGCCTCCCAAGTAGCTGGGATTAGAAGCACTCGCCACCCTGCTCAGCTAAATTTTTTTTTGTATTTTTAGTAGAGACAGGGTTTCACCATATTGGTCAGGCTAGTCATGAACTCCTGACCTCAGGTGATCCACCTGCCTCAGCCTCCCAAAGTGCTGGGATTACAGGTGTGAGCCACCACCCCCAGCCAAGAGCCAATGTTATAGATGGTTTGTCTTTTTATACAAGTGTTTTATTAGAGAATATTTTTAACTTATACACAGTAACCAAAATAGTATAATAGGCTGATGCACCGCCTGAACATCTACTAATTATGTCTGATTTCTGTTTAGTTTCTACTTCAACTCCTTTCCCATCCCCACTTTATTATTGTTTTTATTTTCTGTAAGATGTATAGGCATTGAAACATACAATCCTTACTGTACCTTTCGGACAAATCAATACATCCATATAAACTTTCCCTTTCAATTACAGAATTACTATCAGTTAACGATTATTAATGTACATGTGAATCACCTGGAAATATTTGAAATACAGATTTTGATACAATATGTCTGGGTTTTGCCTGAAAATGTGTATTTCTAACAAAGTACAGATCCATAGAACACATGGTAACTACAAGGTCTCTGTCTAAAGTGTGTAAAACTTGATGAATAAGGCCAAGCGCGGTGGCTCACGCCTGTAATCCCAGCACTTTGGGAGGCCGAGGCGGGTAGATCCCGAGGTCAAAAGATCGAGACCAGCCAGACCAACATGGTGAAACCCCGTCTCTACTGAAAATACCAAAATTAGCTGGGCGTGGTGGCACACGCCTGTAATCCCACCTACTCGGGAGGCTGAGGCAGGAGAATCACATGAACCAGGGAGGCAGAGGTTGCAGTGAGCTGAGATCATGCCACTTTATTCCAGCCTGGGTAACAGAGTGAGACTCCATCTCAAAAAAATCAAAAACAGAAACAAAAACAACTTTATGAATAAAATTAAGAAAAAGTGGGCCTGGCACGGTGGCTCACACCTGTAATCCCAGTACTTTGGGAGGCTAACCTGAAGGTGGGCGGATCACCTGAGGTCAGGAGTTTGAGACTAGCCTGACCTGCATGGAGAAACCTCGTCTCCACTAAAAATACAAAAAAATTAGCCAGGTGTGGTTGCGCACTCCTGTAATCCTAGCTGCTCTGGAGGTTGAGGGAGGATAATCGTTTGAACCTGGAAGGTAGAGGTTGCAGGGAGCCGAGATGGCGCCATTGCACTCCAGCCAGGGCAGCAAGACCAAACCTCCATCTCAAAAAAAAAAGAAAAAGAAAAATTGACCCCAGATAAAATAACAAATCAAAACTCATGTGCAATATGTGACCTGTAGGAGAATTTCATCAACAATGTCTCACAGTCATATGTGACCTTTATTGAATCAGGCAAAGTTCAGTCATTTACACACCAAGTCCACATAAATTTCATGGTTTCCTATTAAAATTATATTTAATGCCTTTGCAAAATCTAACTCAGTTTTCTTTTTCTTTTTTTTTTTTTTTTGAGACAGAGTCTTGCTCTGTCGCCCAGGCTGGAGTGCAGTGGCCGGATCTCGGCTCACTGCAAACTCTGCCTCCTGGGTTCACACCATTCTCCTGCCTCAGCCTCCCGAGTAGCCGGGACTACAGGCGCCCGCCACCTCGCCCGGCTAGTTTTTTTGTATTTTTTAGTAGAGACGGGGTTTCACCATGTTAGCCAGGATGGTCTCGATCTCCTGACCTCATGATCCACCCGTCTCGGCCTCCCAAAGTGCTGGGATTACACTAACTCAGTTTTCTTACAAAATTAAGTAACAACATTTTATATGACATTTTAAGTTCCATTTATATTAAACTCAAACTTACATAATTTTGTTCAGCAGTGTATGTGTGTCTACCACTGAATATTCTTTTGAGTTCTAGCATTTGCATAGGCACCACAGCTGAGAAGCACAGATTCTAGGTCTTTGTCTGTGAGACTGAGCCAAAAGTGGACGTTGTGTTCAACTGTTGAAAGGCATTTCTATTGCCTTCCTGACTTGATAATGATACATTTAAAAAGATAATGGAATGGATGTTAACTCTTGTCAAATAGATCACTGGCAATTTCTTCCTTATGCAGAGGTTGCAATGAGCCGAGATCGTGCCACTGGACTCCAGCCTTGGCGGCAGAGAGAGACTGTCTCAAAAGAAAAAAAAAAAAGAAAAAGAAAAAGAAAAGAACAAAGATGTGTTTTCTGAAACACAACAGCCAAAAGTGAATAACTTGATTTTTAATAAATAGACCAAGGTCTTCTGTTGCAGGAAGTCAGGCACCCCAAACGGAGGGACCGGCTGAAACCCCGGCAGAAGAACATAAATTGTGAAGATTTCATGGACATTTATTAGTTCCCCAAATTTATATGAGCTATCTCAAGTAGTCAAACTTACAGAAACAGAAATTAGACTGATGTATTTCATAAGCTGGAGAGAGAGTAAAAGGGGCAGTTAATGCTTCAGGGGTATTGAGTTTCAGCTTTGGAAGATGTGAAAATTGTAGAGGTTTGTTGCAGAGCAGTGTAAATATACTTAGCACTACTAACCCGTACACATTAAAAAATAAAAGATGGTCAATGTTGTTTTTCTGACAATTAAAAATTTGTGAAAAAGTACTTAAGAGATTCAGCATAATAAAGTGTTTCTAAATTATCTTCAAATTACAAAAGTGTTTCGCTCCCACAAAATCACTTAGATTCTGTAATCCCGGCCAACATTTTATTTATTTATTTTTGGATATGGAGTCTCACTCTGTCGCCCAGGCTGGAGTTCAGTGGCGCGATTTCTGCTCACTGAAACCTCCGCTCCCCGGGTTCAAGCAATTCTCCTGCCTCAGCCTCATGAGTAGCTGGGATTACAGGCGCCCGCCACCATGCCTGGCTAATTTTTATATTTTTAGTAGAGACAGGTTTCACCATCTTGGCCAGGCTGGTCTGGAACTCCTCACCCCATGATCCCCCCACCTCGGCCTCCCAAAGCTTTGGGATTACAGGCCTGCTAACATTTTATTTTTTAGACGTTTGCTTTTCTCTTCAAATCTCAGGTGTCCTACTCAAAACACCACAGGCCAGAAAGGTTATGAAATGTAAAATATTAAAATAGTTGTCATTCTATTGTTTCCATTTGTGAACAAGTGTGTGTCTGTGTGTGTGTGCGCGCGCACAATTTATAAACTGATGTAACCTTACACACCAGAAGGTTAAAATGAACCCCCAACAGAGCCCGGCCTAGCACTGAGATTAGGCCCCGCCTGAAAGTGCCTGGAGGCACTAGTCTGTCACTCTTGCCTGATTCAGTGCACTGTATGGTCGCAATTTCTGTCATTCAAAGCCTGAGGGCGTGAAACCTGGAGCCATATCCAATCAGAGCGCTGGAATGAGAACTGCCCAATCAGGCGCGCAGCCAGAGAGGAGGGGGCGGCATCCGGGATCTAGCGCGGCCTTGGCCTCTTGCTTCAGCCAGAGCCGGGTTAGGGCATTACGGTCCGGCTTCCCATTCTCAGGGAGGCCTCGGTGATTCCTCCACAGCCTCAGCCTCCGTCGCTCTGTGACCAGCGGGTATTGGATGATTCTAGCTAAGACTTCGCGACACCCTTGAAGCCCTGAAATGGTGAGTGTGCGGGGCGGGGCGTCCCGAGGCTGGGGGGCGCCTCATCAGCAGCGGCGGGAAATGGCGGCGGCGGGACCGAGTCTGCGAACGGAGTCCCCGCTGCCGCCGCTCAGCCCTCGGTCCTCAGTCCCCTCCGGTGAGGGACCCGGGCTCCTGTCGGTCCCTACACGGCGGCTCTGCCCAGCCTGCAGCCCTCCTCCTGCAGCTCTGCGCCCGCAGCCCCGCACCTTCCCCGGGCTGTGGGGTGAGGAGCTCACCGGGAAGACGCCGGCGCGGCGTGCGGGGTGCCCGCGTGGGAGGAGCTGTGGTCCGGGGTCCTGTCCCTACTTTACCCTTTTCGGAATGAGATCGAGGCCCCGTCAAAACACAGAGTTAATGTAGGAAACAGGGACTCATTAACGGGACAGCGCCCCCGTGGCTCGTGGTTTGGGCCAGCGGGTCTTGAAGGAAAGGCCTTTGTGAGGTGTGTGAGGAAGGGAAGCCATTCACCCGCCCGCCCCAACTTTCCCACCGGCCCCCTTGCCCTGAGCGCCTCCTCCGCGTGGCTGTTCCTGAGTGGCATCTTTTAGAATAGGCTGGTGGCGTGTGCACAGCGCTTCGCTGAGTTCCGTGAGTGGTTCTGCCACATTATGGAACTTGAGGAGGTTGTGGGCGCCCCTGGTTTGTTGCAGACGTTCAGAAATGAAGACGGGTGTCCAGAGGCAGGGACTGGCGTCTGCAGGGGGGCAGCTGCGGGAAGAGCGCTGAGCTTGTGGGTCTGCGCTGACTCTGGGTGGGGTCGTTAGTGAGTTGCTGGACAGCCCGTTGGGGTTGAAGCATTGGCTGGTGTTGAGGAAACTCCGCAGGTTTTCTGTCAGAAGAAAGACATGGCTGAGCCTGGGCTGGAGGGAGTCGCCTGGTGTCTGCAGGAGGCGCTCCTGGGTTCTGCACATGCGCTGTCCCGCTGGGCACGGTCCTGTTCCTCCAGGTCTCCTCCCCGGGAGAGGGGACTCAGAACTCAGAGGAAAGGAGTTCTGAGAAACATCCCTTCCCTTCACCCTGCTGCCAGCCCCCACCCAATGCTAACCCACTCCTGAGCGCGCCCACCAGGCATTCGCATGGCCCCACTCCTTCCAGTACAGGGTTCCACCCTCAGGAATTGTGCCTATGGAAGCTTTGCTCCTAGGTTGTTCTGCCAAGAACCCACACAGTGCCCAGAAGACTCCTGGCTCATTTGAACCCTAGACACTGGATCTGTAGCAGGAACCTGTTTCCTTCCCCCATTTAGGCTTCTGGACCACCTTATCCTAATCTCTGCTTTTGTAGACACAGCAGTCAGTCAGATGGTAACCCTGCCTCGGCCTGCACTTGTAGCACAAACCAGTCTTTTAGTCAGTCCTGCCCTGCCCCGTCCATGACTCTTAATAGCACCTTTCTCTCTTCTGCTATTTTCTTTTCTTTTCTTTTTTTTTTTTTGAGACGGACTTTCGCTCTTGTTGCCCATGCTGGAGTTCAACTGCACGATCTCGCCTCACTGCAACCTCCGCTTCCCAGGTTCCAGCGATTCTTCTGCCTCAGCCTCCCGAGTAGCTGGGATTACAGGCATGTGCCACCACGCCCGGCTAATTTTGTATTTTTAGTAGAGACGGGGTTTCTACGTGTTGATCATGCTAGTCTTGAACTCCCGACCTCAGGTAATCCGCCTGCCTGGGCCTCCCAAAGTGCTGGGATTATAGGCGTGAACCATCGCGCCAGGCCCTTTTTTTTTTTGAGACGAAGTCTCACTCTGTCGCCCAGGCTGGGCACACTATGTGCACAGGAAAGAGAATTTGAGGAAGAAAATAGCAGAAGAGGGGCCGGGCACGGTGGCTCATGCTTGTAATCCCAGCACTTTGGGAGGCCAAGGCGGGCGGATCATGAGGTCAGGAGTTCGAGACCAGCCTGGCCAATACCAGCCTGGCCTACGAAGGGCTGCAAGCGCCTGTAGTCCCAGCTACTCAGGAGGCTGAGGCAGGAGACTGGCGTTAACCTGGGAGGCGGAGCTTGCAGTGACCTGAGATCACGCGGTTGCATTCCAGCTTGGGCAACAAGACCGAAACTCCGTCTCTAAATAAATAAATGAATAAATAAATAAATAAAAGAGGTAAGAATTTTTGCTCTTCTCCCTTTTCCTAAAGCTGTTTGAAAACTTTTTTTTTTTTTGGGAACAGAGTCTCGCTCAGTCTCCCTGGTGGGAGTGCAGTGGCACGATCTGGGCTCACTGCAAGCTCTGCCTCCCGGGTTCGCGCCATTCTCCTGCCTCAGCCTCCGAGTAGCTGGCACTACAGGCGCCCGCCACTACGCCCAGCTAATTTTTTTTGTATTTTTAGTAGAGATGGGTTTTCACCATGTTGGCCAGGATGGTCTGAATCTCCTGACCTCGTGATCCGCCCATCTCGGCCTCCCAGCGTGCTGGAATTACAGGCCTGAGCCACCATGCCCGGCCTGTTTCTTTTTTTTTCTTTTTCTTTTTTTTTTTTTTTTGAGACGGAGTCTCGCTCTGTTGCCCAGGCTGGAGTGCAGTGGCCGGATCTCAGCTCACTGCAAGCTCCGCCTCCCGGGTTCACGCCATTCTCCTGCCTCAAGACTCCCGAGTAGCTGGGACTACAGGCGCCCGCCACCTCGCCCGGCTAGATTTTTGTATTTTTTAGTAGAGACGGGGTTTCACCGGGTTAGCCAGGATGGTCTTGATCTCCTGACCTCGTGATCCACCCGTCTCGGCCTCCCAAAGTGCTGGGATTACAGGCTTGAGCCACCGCGCCCGGCCTTTTTTTTTTTTTTTAAGATGGAGTCTCTGTTGCCCCAGCTGGAGTGTAGTGCCCTTATCTTGGCTCATTGCAACCTCTGCCTCCTGGGTTCAAGCAATTCTCGTGCCTCAGGCTCCCGAGTAGCTGGGATTGCAGGCCCACACCACCACGTCCAGCTAATTTTGGTATTTTTAGTAGAGACGGGGTTTCACCATGTTGGCCAGGGTGGTCTCGAACTCCTCACCTCAAGTGATCCCTCCACCTGGACCTCCCAAAGTGCTGGGATTATAAGCGTGAGCCACTGTGCCCATCTTGAAAACGTTTATATTTAAATATTTTGTCTGCTTCTTTAAAATATATATAAATAATTTTCATCAATTAAATAGGACATTTGTCTTTTTTGAGTCAAACTTGCCTTTAGGAGCTGGAAACTATTGGTGTGAAATGTAAATAGCAAGAACATACACCCTATCCCACAGTTTCTGTAGGCGCCTAGGAGGCTGCCTTCAGCAGGTACTTAGCTCCACACTGGAAATTTAACTCCTGTCATGAAGATGTTGGAAGTTTAGTTTTTCTATGAATATTACCAATTAGAAAATCCAGATGACTTCTCAGATTACTAGGTGAAATTACAATAAGCTGTATATGACGAATGGTGCTGTCATGTCTTCTGCTTGAGAGTTAATTATGGTGAGTTTCTGTGTTTGCAGTCTCTTAGATTGCCTGTGATGCACACCACATTTTGGTTTATTATGTACCAAAACATTTTCTTTTCTATTGTTGTGGACAGTTTTTTAGGATTGGAGATGATTTTGCTTTTAGTTATGTTTTCCACACACTGTCCAGAATCACCAGACATTATACACAAGTGCCATCTCTGCTTCACTTTAGAGAAAAACCTTTCTCAGGATTCCACTCACAACCCACAATTTGGTGGCAAAGTGCAGCAAAGTGCTCGCCAAATCTGGAAATAGAATGGTCTCTCCTATTTGAGATCTGCAGTCCCTTCTATAACAATTATACTAGATTTCTACAAAAATAACTTTTTAGTACTGCAATCAGTTATTCCTTTGTCAGTGTGCCTGGCATCTTCAAATCTGACACTGATTCCGTGATCATGGGGCCCATAATCCCAATCAGGATCCCACATGTGCATTGATTAAACCTGAGAACTTCAACTGCCTTCTCCCTTTGCCCAAATGCCCACAAATGTGCATAGCTCACCAGCCCTCCAAGTCTTAAATGTGCAGTTCCAAATTCTGAATTTATGTCTTGGGGTTTGAGAGAAGGATAGAACTTTTATCTGAGAAATGTAAGTTATTTTAATCAGATACAGTGATGTGTTAAAATGAGACCACAGTCATGTACTGTTCCCCTCTTTGAACTATTTGTTTTTTGAAATTGTGTTCTATTGCCACATATGGCTGTAAATTAACCTAATAATGTCATAGTGGACACTATAACCCACACCTTATAAATTAACAATGTATATAGCCAGTCACTAACCTCTTACTTCCAAAAGGCAATAAGAATTTCTGACCACTTTCTATCCGTTCTCTCTCTACCTTCCTTTTTGCTTTTAAAAATATACTCATAACTTCTTCTAGTTGGAGTGTATATTCAGGGCAGCTTTATATTCCAGCATTGCCTCTTCAAGCTTTGGCCCAAATAAACTCTCTACTTATGGTTTACCCCAGGATTTTCCTTTTAGGTCAAAATATTCTTCAGAATGTGTTGGGCCTGGCATGGTGGCTCACGCCTGTAATCCCAGCACTTTGGGAGGCTGAGGCGGGCAGATCACAAGGTCAGGGGATTGAAACCATCCTGGCCAACATGGAGAAACCCCTTCTCTACTAAAATACAAAAAATTAGCCAGGTGTGGTGGCGCGCGCCTGTAATCCCAGCCACTTAGGAGGCTGAGGCAGGGGAATTGCTTGAACTTGGGAGGTGGGGGTTGCAGTGAGCTGAGATCGCGCCACTGCACTCCAGCCTGGCGACAGAGCAAGACTCCATCTCAAAAAACAAATAAATAAACAAACAAACAAAACCAGAATGTGTTGAAGGTGCCTTTATGAACAATCTTTTCTCCGGTTGTACTCCGCTTGCTGTAACCCCCAAGAATGCTGAGGCACATTGATCCTACCTGGAATCTGCACATAAAAGCTGACCTCTGCCTAGGATACATAAGACAGGACCAGACTGGGTTGAAGACATACAGAAAACTCAGAAGACGTTTTCTACATCATGAGAGGTCAACATAGACATGTTAATCCCCACTTTCGGAGTGGAGCCCTTTGAGTTTTCCAGATCTTGTCCAGTGACCTGCTGTAGTTGTGTGGGAGGCTTCTGGTATGAACACAATCCTGTGGCAGAATCTGTTAAGTGTAAACAAGCACTTTAGCAGTGGGGGGTCAGGGCCACAAAATAACCAGAGCCATAGTCACAACTATGCCTTCCTGTAAACTGTGTTATTGGAGTAGGGTACTTTCGTCCTTCGCCTTGCCTCAGAGTTACCTGATCAGGGACAGGGGCTTTCACATCTGGATCTAGGATCTGCAGCTTCACCGGGGCTGTTCCATTTTCTGTTTGCATCCCACAAATTGAGCCTGAATCTCTCCTGCCTGGATCACTATGGGGACATCAGCTCAAGGTCACTGGGGACACTCACCAGCATCTGTATTTGAGACATCTGAGGATATCCTCTGCAGACTGGGTCAGTCTGATGGCAAGGTCTAATTCTGCTCCCATTTAGGAAGAGAAATGACTCACCCAGGGTTTGTTCCTGCCTTCACAGAAAGAATCTCCTTGGTTTATACCCAGATAAGAGTTGCTCCAGTTCTTCAGTTTTTTGGTGAAAAATGAGATCTGGATACTCAAACTGATTAATAAGCTAATTGTTTCTATTTCATATGGTCATTAGAAAAAGAGATGAAGCAGTCATGGTCCCTACCCTCAAGCAACTTGCAGTCTGGAGCACATGAATAATGGTTGAATTCAGCATCATGTGTTCAGTACAAAGACGGACACTGTACAGGAGACTTAAACTTCATTTGGGTTACTTTCCTTTTATTGTTTTGTGAGTTTTAATGCTACCACCTGAAGAGAGTATTCACTGACAGAAGAGAAGTTGTTATTGTTAGTATTGTTTTTACCTTGCTAAGAGTAAGTGTTTGGTTTCTAACATAATTGGTCTAGAAAAACAGGGTTTTGGTTAAATTCCTTGTTGTATGTTATGAAAGACACAGGGAAGTGGCTAAAATAGATTAAAATTTCACAAACTCTGGGAATCAAATTTCTCTAGGGCAGCCTTAGAAAAGACAGCTGAAAATACTTAGTGGCATAGAGAACAGAAGCCTGGGGCCCACTCTCTGTCCTGACCCTGCCCAGATCCACCCTCTGCTGAACCTTGTCCAGGTCTGGCCCCACACTGAAATCTCTCACAGAACTGCTTAGAGGAGATCAGTGTTTGGAGTGGCTGCTCCTACCACCTCTCCAGAGCTGGTGCTCCCAATTTCCTGAAACACAAAAGCAGATAAATTGGGAAAAGATATATACTTTTGGGCCTTAAATTCTTTTTTTTTTTTTTTTTTTTGAGACGGAGTCTTGCTCTGTCGCCCAGGCTGGAGTGCAGTGGCCAGATCTCGGCTCACTGCAAGCTCCGCCTCCCGGGTTCACGCCATTCTCCTGCCTCAGCCTCCCGAGTAGCTGGGACCACAGGCACCCGCCACCTCGCCCGGCTAGTTTTTTGTAATATTTAGTAGAGACGGGGTTTCACCGTGTTAGCCAGGATGGTCTCGATCTCCTGACCTCGTGATCCACCCGTCTCCGCCTCCCAAAGTGCTGGGATTACAGGCTTGAGCCACCGCGCCCGGCCTTAAATTCTTTTTTATAAAATTAAAACCAGTGTTTCTAGAGACATCTCATCCAGCAACCTGTTCTCCATGCCTGTAGTTTGTGTTTTTTTTACAAGTCTTAAAGTAAATACACAAAAATTCCTCTGAATTGCACTTAAAACTTCCTTTCTGTTTCTTTGCCACCTATTTATATTGAGCTATTCTTCTATACATTAAAAAAAAAAATCAGTAGTACGAAAACAAAGGAAATGGAAATTCTGGGCCCTGCATTTAAATCCTGGGAAGTATTGGACACTTAGTACCCACCTCCCAGGATGTTATAAGAATTAACACATAATATGAATGTCCCAGCACAGTGCTCTGTGACATACTCCTGAGCACGTAGTACATGCTCTATAAATATCGCATTAATGCAGGTGCACATATTTTTCTTTTCTTTCCCTTTTTTTTTTTTTTTTTTTTGAGATGGAGTCTTACTCTGTTTCGCAGGCCGGACTGCAGTGGCATGATCTCGGCTCACTGCAACCTCTACCTCCTGAGTTAAAGCGATTCTTCTGCCTCAGCCTCCTGAGTAGCTGAGATTACAGGCGCATGCCACCACGTCTGGCTATTTTTTATATTTTTAGTAAAGACGGGGTTTCACCATATTGGCCAGGTTGGTCTCGAACTCCTGACCTCGTGATTCCCCCGCCTCGGCCTCCCATAGTGCCGGGATTACTGCGTGAGTCACCACTCCCGGCCCACATGTTTTTCCAATGCAGACTTAGACATTGACACCATCTCCAGCCTTTGTAACCTTTAAAGGGCCTGCAGAGAATGCTATGCTTCAGGATGATGACTGGTGGTCCTGTCTTGGAATGAAAAGTATTTGTGTTGAGATAAGGGACTTTGTGTGCTGTGCCTGCTTTCTCTAGCCGAGTGGTGCTGTAATGGATCCAGGTGGAGGAACATCAGCATTAACAGGAGACTTGATAAAAGTCGCTAATTCATGGACTGTTTTCAAAGCTGCAAAATTTTGGTACAGTGAGGCCTAGGACATTAAATAATTTATATGTACATTGAAGCTTGAGAGACAGTGCTTAGCTAAGTGACTCTCAGCCCAGTCTTCCCCTAGGGTCACAATTTGAAGTTAAATCATCACGTGTGCCCTCCCATCACATCCTGTCTATTGTTCTGGGTGGAAACGTTTCTGTTTTTTAAATTAAGTTACTCACATATTATAGCAAGGCCAAGGTCAAGCATGAGGACTTCCAGATACTTTCATGAGAGGTGAGTTCAACCTGTTTTCCAGGAAGTCACAGGGCCTACTCTGCTTGGTTTTGGTAGGGGTAGGTCAATGTAGCCCATTATTTTTATTGCAGCAACAGAAACTGTTGGAATGCCTTCCTTTTTCCTCAGAGCTATAGAATACTTTAGAGAATATTACTGTGTTGAAAGTTATTTTATCAGATAATCCCAGTCACATGTCAGAACTAGTTCTCTTAACACATTTCACCTGTAGTCAAATTAAGAACTCTGTCACTTGATACATATGTATTTTCAGGAACCCTTAACATTCAGGGATGTGGCCATAGAATTCTCTCCAGAAGAGTGGAAATGCCTGGACCCTGCCCAGCAGAATCTGTATAGAGATGTGATGTTGGAGAACTACAGAAACCTGGTCTCCCTGGGTGAGGATACTTTTAATACATAATTCCTAATACTCCCTCAGAGTTTTATTTTCTATTTTTGTAGAATGTCTTTTGAGATATATCTGTATCTATATAAAAATGTGTCTCTCTCACACACGTATAAGTTGTATATGTATATAGTAAATTCTTAACATTGGTGATAGAGTCTCAGAAACTGTAAGTGAAGCAACATATCATTTAAGAAAATGAATTTTAGGGCTGGGCACGGTGGCTTACGCCTGTAATCCCAGCACTTTGGGAGACTGAGGTGGGCGGATCATGAGGTCAGGAGTTTGAGACCAGCCTGGCCAACATGACAAAACCCCGTCTCTACTAAAAATACAAAAAACTAGCCGGACGTGGTGGCAGGTGCTTGTAATCCAGCTACTCGGGAGGCTTAGTCGGGAGAATCACTTGAACCTGGGAGGTGGAGGTTGCAGTGAGCCGAGATTGCACCATTGAACTTCTCAGAACTGAGTTTTGAGAGCAAAACTCAGTCTCAAAAAAACCAAAAAACAACAACAAAAAAAGAAAACTAGTTTTAGCAAAGTTTAATTGATAACAAACGAGTTATGTTTGGTATATAGCAACATTGCTTCATTTAAAGTTGCAGTTTTCAAGAACCTGTTTTGAACATTAAGTGAGGACTTACTGTATAGCTGTGTTTGTGTGACATGGAGTTTTCTGATAAATAAAAATTGTTTAAGTGTCTTTAATGTGTACAATGTAATGATTTGATATGTATATATTTTGTGATATATGCATATTTTATTGCAAAAATATAGTCAAGTTGATCAACACATCTATTACCTCAGACAATGATTTTTTTTTTGGTAATAAGAACACTTAAGGCCTAGTGTCGTAGCAAATTATAAGCATACATTACAGTATTACTAATTATAAACAGAATGCTATCATGCTAATCTAATGCTAATGTACATTAGGTTTCTCAGACTTATTCAACTTACAACTAAAAATTTGTACTCTTTGAACAACATCTCCTCATATTCCCACCCTTAGGCTCTAACAACCACCATTCTACTTTCTGCCTCTATGAGTTTACATTTTTAGATTTACCCATCTATGTGACAAGAAGCAGTTTCTTTGTCCCTCTGTGTTTGGCTAATTTCATTTAGCATCATGTCCTCCAGGTCTATCCATGTTGTAAATGGCTAGATTTCCTTTTCTCTTATGGCTGAGTAGTATTCTACTATGTATATATACACACTCCATATTTTGGCTATTATAAATATACAATGAATATGGGGCTGAAGATATTTCTTCAAGGTGTTAATTTAATTTCCTTTGGTAGTATGGCCAGAAATGGTATTGCTGGATTATATGATATGTCCATTTTTATTTTTTACTGGTTTTTATGATGACTTTTTCAATTTACATCTCACCAACAGAATACAGCATATATGTTGTATGTATGTCTTTGGGGAAAAAAATCTAACCTTTTGCCTATTTTTGAATGGATTATCGTTATTATTGTCTTGCTTTGAATTGCAGAAGTTTCTTAAACATTTTGAATATGGATATTAACTTTTCTTTTTTGAGACAGTCTTCCTCTGTCACCAGGCTGGAGTGCAGTAGCACGATCTTGGCTCACTGCGATCTCTGCCTCCTGGGTTCAAGTGATTCTTCTGCCTTAGCCTTCCAAGTAGCTGGGATTACAGGCATGCGCCACCACTCTTGGCTTATTTTGTATTTTTAGTAGAGATGGGATTTCTCCATGTTGGTCAGGCTGGTCTCAGTCTCCTGACCTCAAGTGATCCTCCCGCCTTGTTCTCCCAAAATTAACTTGTTATCAGATATATCACTTGCAAATATTTCTATCCCGTAGGGTTTTTAGAAATTTTGTTTTCCTTTGCTGTGAAGAAGCAGTTTACTTTGATACAATCCCACTTGTTTGTATTTTTGTTGTTGTTGCCGTGCTTTTGATGGCATATCAAAAAATTGTTGCCAAGACCAGTATCAAGGTTTTTCCATGTTTTCTTCAGGAGTTCTAAGGTTTTTTTGTCTTACATGTGTTTCATTTTGAGTTAATTTTGGGGTATGGTATAAGAAAATGGTTTACCTTTGCCAGACGTGGTGGCTCACACCTGAAATCCCAGCACTTTGGGAGGCCGAGGTCAGGAGATTGAGACCATCCCAGCTAACACAGTGAAACCCCATCTCTACTAAAAATACAAAAAATTAGCCGGGCATGGTGGTGGGCGCCTGTAGTCCCAGCTACTCGGGAAGCTGAGGCAGGAGAATGGCGTGAACCTGGGAGGCAGAGCTTGCAGTGAGCCGAGATCGTGCCACTGCACTCCAGCCTGGGCAACACAGTGAGACTCTGTCTCAAAAAAAAAAAAAAATGTACTTTTATTCTTTTGCTTGTGGCTCCTCAGTTTTTCTGGCACCATGTATTGACAAGACTATAATTTCTGTATTGTATATTCATGATCCCCATCCCAAAATTCGTTGACCTTGTATGCATGGATTTGTTTCTGGGCTCTATTCTGTTCATTGGTTTTTGTATGTGTATTTATGCACATGCCATATTCTTTTGCTTACTATAACCTTTAAATAAAGTTTAAAATTAAGAAGTATGATGCCCCAGCTTTGTTCTTTCTCACGATGGCTCAGGTTATTTAAAGTTGTTTAAGGTTACACTTAAATTTTACAATTGTGTTTTCTATTACTGTGAAAAATAACACTAAAATTTTGATAGGGATCCCATTTGAATCTACAAATCACTTTCGATAATATACTTTGACAATATTAGTGATCCTAATGAAATATGTGTTTGTGTCTGCTTCAATTTCTGTCATTATTGTATTTAGTATATACATTTATTGTTATACATTAGATTTTGTGCCTTATTGTATTTAGTGTATAAATTTTTTATTTCATTGGTTAAATTTATTTTGAATTTCTTATTTTTAGTGTTGTAAATTGAATTTTTTTCTTGGAAATTTTGTTGTTACTTTATGGAAATGAAACAAATATTTGTATGTTGTGGCAGGTGTAGCGGTTCATTTTTGTAATCCCAGCACTTTCAGAAGCCAAGGCATGTGGATCACTTGAGCACAGGAGTTTGAGATGAGCCTCGGCCTCAGAGTGAGACTGTGTCTCAAAAACATGCACAAAAAAACCCCGCAAGTATTTACATGTTGATTATGTATCCTAATACCTTAATAAATGCATTTATTAGTTCAGTTTTTGTTATTCTACTCTAGGATTTCATATATATGCATGATCATATTATCTACAAACAGTAAAATTTTTTCTTATTTTGCAAGCAGGAGAGCTTTGTTCTCCTTTTCCTTGGCTAATTGTTCTGATACAAACTTTCGGTAATATGTTAAGATAGAAGCTGTGTTCCTGGAGGCATGCTTGCAGATCTTGGCTTCAGCTGTGGTCCCTGAAGCAGCCCTGTGTCTGTATATTTTAAGGAGTTAGCAGTGATTTACAGTTTTCTATAATCTGTTTTTTGGCAGGTAAACATCTCCTTTTGTTGGGTCCCCAGGCTGATGAGATTACCTCTGGGGTTGCAGAGAAAAAGGGTTGTAGCTGGATCACAAGGGTGATGCTGGGTCTGCTGTGGGGTCTGCTTTTGATGGTTGTGTTACCAGAGATTTCGACAGTCATAGATTCTTTCTGGGCCCTGGAAAGATTAGATTTCCTTGAGGACATTAATCTATATGGCAGGCAGTAGGATTGGGTTTTGAAGTTTGTCTGCATATTATGGCCCAAATACCAGGTATATAAATGGGTTTGGCTTTTACTGACTACCTGGGAACAGTTTTTTTTTTTTGTGATGGAGTCTTGTTTTGTCCCCCAGGCTGGAGTGCAGTGGCATGAACTTGACTCACTGCAACCTCTGCCTCCTGGATTCAAGCGATTCTCCTGCCTCAGCCTCCTGAGTAGCTGGGACTACAGGCGCAAACCACCATGCCTGGCTAATTTTTTTTTTTCTTTTGAGATGGAGTCTCACTCTGTCACCCAGGCTGCAGTGCAGTGGCGCAATATCAGCTCACTGCAAGCTCCGCCTCCCAGGTTCACGCCTTTCTGTCTCAGCCTCCGGGGTAGCTGGGACTACAGGCACCCGCCACTGCGCCGGGCTGCTTTTTTGTATTTTTAGTAGAGACAGGGTTTCACTGTGGTCTCGATCTCCTGATCTCGTGATCCACCTGCCTTGACCTCCCAAAGTTCTGGGATTACAGGCATGAGCCACCGCGCCTGGTACGCCTGGCTAATTTTTTGTATTTTTAGTAGAGACGGAGTTTCACCGTGTTAGCCAGGCTGGTCTTGATCTCCTGACCTCCTGATCCACCCGCCTCAGCTTCGCAAAGTGCTGGGATTACAGGCTTGAGCCACTGTACACAGTCCCTGGGAACAGTTTTTACAGGTCTCTGTGGGCCTCTGAGTGTGTATGAGTGGCCACGGACTGTGACTAGAAATGACTTGAAGTGAGTCACAGGGTGCTTCAAGGAGCACAACTGTGGGCCAGGATCTGCAGGCCTGTCTCTAGGGCCATGACTGGGTGTGTCTTCCTGCAAGTCTCTTGACAGGAAGGAACACTTCTGGGCTATAGCTGAGATTGAATTTGAGAGAAGTTACCGAACTGCTTCATAATCCTCAGTAAGGCCAACCTCCATGCACCATTTTCTTGTCTGTAGCCATGTCTGTGGGCTCTGGAGTTGGCCACCTGGGTGAGGGCCTGCTTTTTCCAAATAACCCTTCCTTGGTCTTTAACTCTACTGAGGTCTTGCAACCCTAACTATAGGCAAACACCATTGTACTTATGTTTTGTAGGAATTTACTACTTAAAATATCTTATGTAAGTGGAATCATACACTGTCACTTTGTTAGTGTCTTATTAAATAATGGTGTCTAATTAAATACTGTCTTATTAAAATAATGGCTTTAAGATTTATCCTTATTGTATGATCCAAAAAGATATTTTCTTTTCTTTTTTTTGTTTTGAGACGGAGTCTTGCTCTATCACC